ACAAGAAGCATCAAGCACTGTGCCTCCGTTATGCCTCACTATTTGGCACATCTTGCGAAAAAAAATTACCTCGTTTGTTTTAAATGACAGGGAAACCAATAGTATTGGCCCTTTACACAACTAGTGTGAAAAAAGGAGCAAGCTTTGGTTGGATTCTGAATTAAAAGCTTTGCAACCATCTTCTTCTTGTAAAGTGCAGACCTCATGTTATGCATGAGGATAAATCGCACTACCTACATAGTTACAACGTGAAAGAGACTTTGTTTTGCAAGTGCGATTCAATACAGTGATACATCATGCAACGAGTGAATTACAATGCGCCCTTCAGCTTAGGAATTGCAATTGGAAAGAGACTACCAACAACGTAATTCCCATTACGTAGGGAATTACTTCACTCTCTCAAATTCCCTAGACGGACTGTTCATCGCCAGTTTTTCTCGAATCTGAAATCTGTTTCAGCCTTCCAAATAATTATGCTAAATCCTTCCAGTCTTCCCAAAAGAGCCTATATTAAGAGAAAAGGAATTGAGCGCGGACGTGGCATTGATGAAAGAATTACCAACGAGTTGTTCTGTAAACAGAGAAACCCATTACCAGCTGTGTGCTTAATCCTCATTCCGGAGTATGCCGAGGTTTCTACCTCTTCTCCGTTCATCAAAGGGGTACATCTTATTTCCGAATCAATAGATATTGATACTACAAAACGAGGTTTAAAGGGCAATTCTTTTGTGTAAGGTTGTGACGCAACTTCAAGATTGCATTTTAATCCATTATTTTAATGAACCTGTGTCGAGACAATGGCGATTTGTTTATGTCATGTTATTCCCCCCAAAAAGACAAATCCTTACTAAACGCTGTTCTACAAAATGAGGTTTAATGGACAATTATTTTGTGTAAGGTTATGATGCCACTTCAAAATTGCATTTTAATCCATTATTTTAATGAATTTTTGTGGAGACAATGGCAATTTGTTTATGTCAACTTGTTAATCCAAAAAAGAGGAATCCTTAGTAAATATGTCATTCTTAACGGAGTTGAAAAGAATGTTGCCTTTAAAGTGTCCATGAAGTGAATTTTTCTTAAGAACACATTTTGTGCAACTTGTCCACGCCTTTCCGGACAACTGAGGGTGCTGTTGCTGTGATGTCATTTCAGGAAGACACTGTTCAGTTTAGGGGTTTTTTGCTCATAGATGAATCCAAATCTGCTCATTGAAAACATTTTGTGAGAAAAGTTTGCTCATTGGCTTACTGCCATGTACTGACACAACAACGAATCACCAAAGAAATTTACAACAGCAAAATATCCAAAATTCTGGTAACTTTTTGTGCTGAAATAGCTTTAACACGGAGGTTTCTACCTAAAATGACATCACCCTTTTACTCATGAATATGAAAATTCGGAAAACATACCAACCAAAAAGGCGCCAAAATACCCTTGGAAATGGCAAAATAAAAATTGAAACTTTTCAGGTTGAATACATGTATGGGACACAAAGGTGCATTGTGAATTACATTGCATGGGCCTTTGGAGGTTTTCATTCAAATACGTTTTTAAAAACACCATTTGTCAAATGGGTTGGTATTTTGCCCAATTTTACCCAATAAAACAACTCCCTACACTATGGGGCAAATTTGTACCCAAATTTGATAATTTTTACCCGACTAAGCAACGATTAAAGTAATTTCAGACTACTGTTAGGTATATCACTTTGCCCAGCAGTAATTACCCAACTCTGTTTATACACAGGGGCGGGTATAGGTATTTTCGCGGGGGTGGGGGGGGGGGGGGGGGTGGGGAGTTTTCATCAGCAAACAAATTTGAAATGTAGACAGGTTTTTTTCTCCAGACACTTGGCCTCCGACAAATAATAGGGGGGTGGGTGAGGGGGCTCGTACCGTACTTTCAATTGGGCGCTGTTCAAATCCGACGATTTTTAACATTACACTGAATAGTGTAAAAAATACCCCCTAACCAAGCTGGCTCTGTCCGTATTTTGTGAACAATCGGACATTATTACCAGTATAATATGTTGGGGGTGTCACAGTAGGGGAGGTGGAGTATTTTAAAGATATTTCTTTGACATTTTTTTTTGACAGAGCTGGGTATTTTTTTAACCCCCCCCCCGGATCCGCCCCTGATAAACCGTGTATACTTCTTGTGTCGTTTATCAAATGGATTTGAAATTGATAGAGCCTTCTTGAGCCATGCTCAAATCCTGCTGTTTCCTCAGATCCAGCCCAAGCCACAAGAATCCCGAGGCTTAAGAAAAGCGCAAGTGTATCGAAAAGACACCTGAGTGCTTACACCAATGTTAGTGAACGCACCTCCGTCAACAGTGGTGTCATAGGTGTCAAAACAGACTAGACTTACAGTATAAAAAGGACAAGACTTCGCTACGGATAAAACTGAAAGGCGGGATAACACAAAAACCAATTAGCCTACATTAAAGGGCCTTGAATTCGCTCGTGAATGATGGCATTATTATGCTTTTTCGTTTGCATATAACAAGCTGATGAATGCACTAAATTGACTAATTTTGTTTGACTTAAGGCCCAATGTAAACTCCCCAGCATCAGCAGATGATGCAAATGAATGTAAATAGACCTCAAGAACATCACTGATAACAAAAAGAAGAAAAATTCTAGGAAGAGTATAATTTAAATAATTTAATTGTAAAAGGAAAGAAATCAATGTGTTTCGAGGGACAATGTAATTAACTTGTTTCAACAGTGTCCAGTGCCACATTTGGCCGTATCTGGTCTGACAAACTCTAAGGTATGACGCCACTATGCAAGAACAAGTGCCACATTGAAATTTCTATATATATGGTCCATAAATAGAAAAGCAGGCACCGATCAGAGCTCATAATTGAACTTCATCTCAGGACGGTTGAAAAAAAGTGCAACCACCGCAGTGTTTTGAAATGGTCCACTCGAGCTCAAAGTGCGTGTCGATTCAGCCTGAGCCGAAGGAATAACACTCAGAACATGTACTGGTAAGGCGTGAGCAGGGTCATTCTGGCGTGAACGAAAGCATTCAGGCAAGCAACACAATTCCCAAAGGGTGTACCAAAAGAAGGCACGATTCCCTCAAAAAAAGTCACGAATTAGACCTTCTTTACGGGCTGGGCGGCGGGAAATCTGGACCAATTGCGGCAGCATTTAAAAAGACGTTGAGAGTAGAAATTGGCTTAATTTTGCGGCATCTTTCCAGCCGGATTTTTAGAGTCTGTTTAGACTCCACTCAAGCGGTTGATCCGGTCACCTGCCTGGACACGACACGCATCCTAAACAACACACTCACTTCCGTCCAGTGCTATTTGCCAAAAGATGTGCGTTATAACTTTTATCATGCTGAGAGTGTTTGGTTATTGAAGAAAATATTTTTAAAACGTCTTAATCAAAACATTCTTTCCATCATATTCCATTAAATTGCATACGATGAACTTTCGTTTCTGAACCAAGTTTGTAAGAGTATTGTAGTCTCCAGAACATCACTAAAGTCTGCAAAATAATGCTCAGCTAAAAAAGTTTCTATAAAAAATACTACTTTGTACCTTTTCACCACTATTATACACCTTGAGTGTGAGTTTTAAGGGATTTTTTTGGGGGAGGGGGGATGATGATTAGGTTAAAAAAATCAACTTCGGTCTTCCCAAACGTACATCCGACAAAAACGTCCTTCAGAAAAAAAATGTTGAAAGTAAGTTATTGTGATTTACAATCATGTACGTCCTTGGGAGCGATTGAAAAATTCAAACCACAAATTTGCCCATTTAAACCACAATAATCAACCTTAAAAATCCAAAATATTCGACAAATTCAGTCAATCTCATGCAGTGTTATTGTTTTTACATAGCATTTTCGGATATGTAAATACTATTATTAAGCCGAAAATGTACGGTCAAAATGATGTATAGATAATTGTGATATGATATGATTAGTTTAGGGTGAGCATCTTGACCCCCGTTGAGGTGGCATCGAGGTGAGGTGTGAGATGGGATGGTGAGGTTGAGGTGAGGTGGAGGTGAGGTGGAGGTGAGGTGGAGGTGAGGTGGAGGTGAGGACATCCCACCTCACCACCTCGCCATCCAACCTCACGCCTCCTCAACGGGGGTCAAGATGCTCACTCTTAACGTCATGAGGTGCGTCATAGTTGCAACCAAGTCAATCGCAAGTCAGTTACTATGAGTCAACTACTATACATGTAGAGTCAATCTCTAGTCAGCAAGTCTCAAGTAAACTGACAAGCTGTATAGTCAAACTTATGATCTGAAACGAAGGCATTCCTCTGTATTTTTCCTCAGTGTAAATCCTTCACTGCTTCTGACCTGACTTGCGATTGAAGTATGATTCAATCGATAACAATTATTGAGTGCCAATGTGATCGAATTAGTCGTTGTCTGACTGTCTGCCACCAAGAATAGTTAGGGAAAATAACAAGAAACGCCTTCGCCTCGAATTCTGGCCGCAGTACGTGCTTGTTGTGCAAGTGAAGTATGCTATTTAACTCATTTTCTGAAAAAGTAATTACCAAGGTTTTAACAAGGATCGAATGACTATAATTTCTGATTTCCCCAAACTTAATTACATCCAATTATCTCCACACGCTTAGCTCGATCGTGTCAAATTTTTTATTTACATATACAATAATTTCAATACCCTCTCCGCGGACCTCATTTATTGAAATTACCCATTTATACTTCGACCCGGTTTGTAAGCCCCAATGAGGGTCAATGCGAAATAGTCACACTCGGAGCACAAAGCAGATTGTACCATCAATCATCCTCCCCGGACGTAAAATCGTTAATTTGAGGTGATTTGATGCGTAAGCAAGTATCTTCAGGTTGACGTTATAGTGCAGTGTTCTTGATTATTGAAGTAGTTATTGTGCCCCCTCCCCCAAAAAGGCTTTTCAAATGATCTTGCGCTGTACTCTTGTATTTAAACCAATCGTTTCAGTAAGTTTATCTCACCTGTTTCATTTCTCTTTTGCAGACGAAGGATTTTTTGAGACGCCTTTTGATTTCGACCCGTTTTCCCTCTGGAGGTCGCAGAGGCAACGAATGACAAGACCAAAGTTTCCCCGGAACTGATGATGAGATTTGAGTTTCCCCCCGAAAACATAGAATGGAAAAGGTATAGATTTAAGTTTAAAACGAGTCCACTGCTCTAAATTTTTTTGCAGACAACATGATGTTTTCAGTCTGTTGCTCATACCAAATGAGATTCGAGGAAAATGATATGCCACAAGTACGAACATGTTTTCTTTAAGTTTATATTTGCAAACGACAAAAATTCGTTTTACACTCTGTGTAACTTTAAAGGTGCGCCATTTTTTTTTTTTTATTTTTTTTTTTTAACGACTGAATCCCTCTCTTTCTTGTCGAGTTGATGTACTGGGGAAAAAAAGAGCAATGATATCATATTAATCTAAATTGTCACGGTACCTTAACAGAAAACTGATTTTGAATTAATTAAATAGCTTTCTTATAACCAAACAAATCACACACTCCTTGGGTAATGTCATTTTGTCCAAATTTAAATATCAGAGAATTTTTGGCTGTTTTGTGTTTATTTTGATCTAAAATCTTAAGATTCAGTCATATTAAAGCGCCACAAACGCACAATCTGCCAAAAGACGCTTAAAAACAATTAATATCTGTGTATCTTTTTACAATTCAGTAGTTTGGATATACGAATGAATTTGACCTTGTCGCAAGGAAAACAGCTCAAAAGTATGTAAAAATAACTTGTTTTATTGTGATATTATGTGTCATACCGTCTTCTCGACGGAAGGTAAACAAAATGTTAAATTTAAGTAGAGAGGTGTTTTTTTCAATTTCGTGCGTAATGATGTAAATTACTAGATACCTTTTTTTCTGATGATTTGTTTACACAATCAAGTAATTATTTGGTGAATTTATTTCTTGTGGGGACCTCTTTTGTACCTTCTACTTAACTTTAACTCATTCTCTTGATACCAACAATTGTCACAAAGGTCGTTTTATCACTTAAGCTGTTCAACTTGGACTAGGCTTCTCTGTTTTCAGTTGTATAAAGAGACTAACATGTACCACATAGATTTAGCTTGGTTCTCTGTCAGTTTACATACTTGTCCATACACAGTTCTTTAGAAGACTTAAAATGTGATGATTTTTTTTAAAATAATTTCTTTGAAACGCGTACTTTTGCGCCTTTGCTGTATAGTGTCTTTTGCATGCATAATCAAGGAATAAGTAAACGTAAGCCAAAACCAACCCCAGCCCCCTACGCACCTTCACGCTTCATTCTGAAAAGTGGATGACAATGTTGGACATAATATCTGAGTATTTTGATCAGTGCATCAAAGGGAAGAGAAACTTACTCAGTGTAACCTCTAATCTAGGACGGCTACAACCACATTGAATAGATGGATTGATGTGGGGGGGGGGGGAATGGCAATGGTTGACCAGCCTAACAGGAATAAATTATTACTCGCGTGCGGCTATATGGACTCGGTAACCTTGTTAGTCCACGGAAGGGCAAACTTCGGGACGTGTAAATGTACCCTCTATATTCATTGCTGGGAGGCCCTGAACGTCGAGCACTTCCTCTAGCTAACACTGACCGGTGAACTGCCGCTGATGCAGTCACACAAAGTAAGAGTGAAATATTGAACGGCCATCCGCGATATCCACTTCAAATCGAAACGTGCGTGTATAACTCAAAGGGGCTGGAAATCTTGCCAACAGTGCAAACTTTGCAAAAACGGAATGAGAGTATCTAAAGTTGAAAACCACTCTCTAGGGGTGTTCTGCGATAAAAAAAAAAGAAGACACATTTTCATTTGCATGTTTCCCCTCCCCCGCCTACCCAAAAAAAAGTTTTCATGAATGCCGCAACCACACTGCTAATCCTTATCGCAAATATGATTGATGAAGTTACCCGAAAAGACAATATGCCAATCAGATGTCGAGTAATGCTACACTCGACGAAAATAAGCAAGATGAAGATCCCAGATTGACGAAATTAACCCAATATTTTACACACGATTGATATTGATGGTCGAAATGTCATTGATCAATAACTCAATAAATTGCAAATTGCTCTAGATTGATAGCGAACCCCTCATCTTTCCTCCGTTGTTTAAAAGCTGAACTATATCGAAGATGTGACATTTTGTTTATATTGCAGTCAGGTGACGCCGACTTCCGACCTAAACAAACAACGATGGTACGCTGTACCATTATTGATATACCGTGAAGCCTCAGCGGTTAACTTGACGTTAATATACCCTACCAAAATAAATAGACGCGATGTTAAAATTAACTCGTTAGGTTCACTATTGAACCATTGTACATATAAGCTCCAATATAGAAATTTCATGGTGTTTCATTAAAAACAAAGCAAAAGAAACTTGCGTCAGCATGCATTGAGGTATACGTTCGTATTTAAATGGAAATATCTACGAGAGTGCCAGTTTTCCATAATGTATGCCCCTGCTGATGTTTGGCATTGCCAAAGGGTAAAGAAAATGCACAATTTAAATTCATTTCGTACTGCGAGACATCTCTCTTTCACCCATGGTGAGAAAGCTTACTGGGCGACTGGCCTCTTGGGAAAAAAAATTGAAAAGAATGTTGAAGATTTACATTTACACGAAAATGACAACATTGCATAGTGTGGCAATAGTGCTTGTAAATGGCACAGGGCAAACAGTCACTATCACAGGAAACAGTGAACCCAAATCCAATGCATCTGAGGTGCTTAAGGGACAAACCTTCTTTTGGATATTACAATTTTGTTTGAAAATTCATGAGCAATTCCTGTCGACAGTTAACGATAATTATAGCATAGTCCAGATACAAACAAGTAAAGACAGCAACAGGTGCTAACAGAAATTACTTGATTGCCTGTAGCTCTGGTGAAATAATCTAATGCGATGGATGACAGGGTTTGTTATGCGTGCAAGAATAATTGTGTAAATTATACTAAGATTTTAGAGTAGCATTGTGAACTAGGTTAAATATAACAGTTACATCATGTCCCTTTTAAACTAATCAAACTTTGTTACCAGTTACTTGAATTGGATGCTTACAATTTAGCAACGAAGACAAAAAAGTGCAAAATTAATGTTAATTGTAAATTATTACAAACTTTCCTTTACGCCATTCCTTGCTTCAGTGCTAACAAATATTCTCAAGAGAAAACCCGATGTTTTTAGCTCGAGTAATAAATCAATTCTGTTTTAACAAATATACGTCTTCATTGCCCACGTGTAACTGTCTTATTTGTCGATGTTCCCATTGGAGAGAAGAGGCATCAGTTTTAAATAACTTATCATTCATCCCGATCACTTGCAGTGCCATTGTAAATCGCGAATGGCATTGACAAGCTAATCATTTTGTACAGCCCGTGGTTTTTTGGGGGGGGATGAGGAGAATCGCAGGACTTGGGTGATAAATTTTCCACCCTGAATGTCTAACAGCTTCGGTATGACGAAATCGAATCACCGAATCTATCACTTCGCATCTCCTAACCAAAATGATGCAAATGACGCCACCAAATCAATTTCCTAACGCCTTGGGCGTACTAGTCGCATCGACCAGCCTGTCATGAGATTTTCGTCAGTGGCATTGGTCTCGTTCCTGACCTTCAATTTGTGCCGTTCGCGCGGCGGAAACGGCTGATTTGACGTCCAGTATCCGAACTTACCCGTTCAGTATTATGGTGGAAATTCCTGTGCGTATTCAATGTAGTTGTTTCATTAAAAGCTGAATGTTTTCTGGTCTAGAATTACTCGCTGTGGATTTTCTTTCAGGTATTTTGCATCCGGTTCTTCAATCGCTATCATGCCCTCAGGCATTTCCGTAATTGGAAAATGCAACCATGCACTTTGGCCATTTTTGTAAACAACTATTTGCAATCCAAATAAGTTTATTATTCAGTATTACCACCAGTCACGTTCTTAGCTCGTCTTAAGATGTTGATACTGTTGCGTGTTGGTACAAACGCGCATAAGAAATATGCAAATGAACGTAAGCAAACAAGCAGTAACTGCCATCCTGCAGTCTGTCGTTTAAACACAGGTATACCTGTGGTAGACCATTGGGTGGCTGTTAAAGTTATTCAACCACTGAGATTTACATATCAATGGGCTATAAAACGTTTGGAGACAATATCGCAAACGAGCCTTGTTCAACTTGCATTAGCAGATTTATTGAAATATTTTTGACGTAAAGATTCTCCACCTTTTCATGAAACTTTAAAGAAAATTGCAGCAATTTCTTTAGTGTAAGACTGATAGTGATGTACTGAAATATAACTATAAAAACTGAAAACATTGTCAAAAACGTATCTGAAGAGCAAAGACAGAAATACAAAGCCCCTTCGCAAATCGGGTAGTCAACTATGGTGGCAGATCATCTTATTTCCTATTCTTGCAGCGGATGTAGTTCACATGCAAAAAAAGGTGATCCCTTCGGACCCTTCCATGTTCCTGCACTATACGTTAAACCTTCAGCAAAAAAATGGCACACAGGCTTAGACTTGGAAGCAAAGAAAGCCCACCGATTACAAACAAAATTGGATTGGATGAAGGAGACATCAAAATGTAGCCCCGTTACGAAAAACATTGTGTCAACAGTTGGTCTAAACTGTGATCAGTCAGATCATACCAAGCAACACACATACGCCCAGCAGAAAGACGAGTCGTGTTACACGTCGCCTGGTGGGATTAAGAGCAATCAATGCCGAGATTAGGGGAGGACGGTGAAGGGGAGGGAAATAAGAAAACACGCTCCTTGTTCTGTTCATGCCGTGAACCATTGCAATAACATCAGCTGCTAGGGACGTCATCACATCCGAACCGCAACCAGGGCTGGGGCGTCTGTTTTTTAGTCCGGGAAGAGTGTGGAAAGCGTCAAAACATCAGCAAGAGCACGTCTGGGGGCTCGATTACGAGATGGCGGGAAACACGCCGATTGGGACGCGGAAAGTCAATACCATCTACCAATCAATCAAGGACACTATAACGGAGTAAATGAAATAAGTTTAGCTGTTTCAAGCCACGCTTTTCCCTCCCCCTGAAATGTATTCTCTGATTGCTGGAATCCTCGCGGTCACTGTAGATGTTTTCAACGTGATCACATCCTTCAGAAAATGTATTTCGTTTTACGACTGTGGTTTCTGATACAACAAACGCAAGAAAAGCGCCAGGAAAACAATATATTCCCTGATTCAGACTAATGTCCGATGTAGGCGCATCTCAAAATACCCGCAACATTTTTCGCGAGGCTCTAGCGTCGCTGCGGAAACACGTACCGCCAATATATTTATATCAATTTAAAGCTTGACATCTTAACTTTATCGCTGCTAAGTATTGTTTGATTTTCAAAAGGGTTTGGAAACAATTCGTGTTCAAAAAAGGCATGTCAAAAACAAACTCAACCGATTTCAAGGAAAATCAATCTTGCGTATTTTTTCTAATGTGGAAATGGTTCATCATGTTCATGATGTGACGATCTCGTTGCTTTTTGCTCTCTGTGTTTTCTATTCTTTTCGATCCATGTAGAATACACCTGAAATGAATTCACAATATTGTTCTTTGTTTCAAGTTCAATTTTGAAATTCACGTGCAAGTATGTACCTATTCAAAAAGCGCGCTCAAAGTGTGACTTGAGTTTGCATCTGATGTGCCGCATGTATCATCGATTTTCGATGCCTTTATTTCAACACAAATAATTTTAAAACTCTTTTAAATATCAAACCAATACTCGCCAGAGATAAAGTTCAGATTCCAAGCTTTGAAATGGTATAAAAATAATGGCGGTACGTGTTTTCGCGCCGACGCTAGAGCCTCGCAAAAAGTTGCGGGTATTTTGGGACGCGCTGTAGACTGCTATGGGCCTTATGCACGAGTTAGCCATTTTTGTCGAGTTCCCTGAATGTATTTCATAGTTGTTAATTGTTGAATGGGATGGCGCCAGACTATTTATGCAGCCTTTTTTACTGTCATTTTTTTTAATCAGGCTCAAAACATGAGGGAACGTTTCATTACAAAATTTAAATTATTCCTCGAAGCAGACTTGAATTAATTAGTAATTTACTTGCTTTCATTTCTCTTCGCAAGTTCCAAAAATGAAGATTTTACCTCACTTTGAATTCAATATGGCTGACTCGTACATAAGGCCCATAGGGCTTGTTTAAACTTGCGACTGTACGTAGAGTCGGCTAACTACTACAAAGACGTGTGTGTTATCGCCGGCCGCACAGCCAAGTAATTCGGACGCGGTCATATTCTCTTATTTATATAAGACGGAGACAAACAACAACAGAGTAAGCGATATCAAAATCTGGTAGATTTAACCTACAGTAGATCAGTCGGTGTACGCGTTGGACCTTTGTCAATTGCCTGGTAGCCTGCAAATGGCTTTGCGTTAAATGCACCGTGGAACCAGTGAAAAAGAGAGCAGACCGCACAGAATTAGAATACATCTCGCCATCTTTGGAAATCAGCCTAATCTCCCCACGAAAGCCGATTCAACTGGCGCCTGCGTTGTCGGCCCAAGAGGAAAAGGTTTTCCAGTCAACGACTGCACTATCCTTGCCCCTCTGAAGATTTCTTTAAGGGCTTCTAGCTAGATGTACCAGGTCAGGAATTAGGATTGTCGAACCCTATTTTCCCTCGTAGTGTCGGTCGGTTCGTGAGAGTTGCCTCGCCTCCAAGTCCAACTTGGTATATCTCTCGTAAATCTTGCTCATGCTCCTGTCTAGATTTAGCCTCCGGGTTGTCTCCGATTACTCTGAGGGGATTCTGCCTGTAGTGGCGTCATACAACATTTACCCCTCCTGATCCAGGGGGATTCCGAATCTCATTATTTCTAGCCAGATTTTTTGGTACGTTGTTTTTGTTTCAGTTGTCTGTCTTACTCGTCAATCTGCATATTAGGAGTTGTTTAATTTAATAGAGGGCCTTACCATTGTATAGCTAGCGGGGTGTTTTGTTGATCAAAATTGGTGAACATTTATAATTTTTGACTTGTTTTGACTTTTGGACCGAAAGGTTTTGATATTTTTTTTGACCTTCGACTTGGGTAATTATCAGCATCCAGACTCCAACCGGTCTTAAACATATTGTTTAAAACCTCCGAAACACACAATTTATTCCCTTAGTCAACTGGGGGTTTTTTTTGGGTTTTTTTTTTTTTTTTTTTTTAAAGTTGACTACCTTTTAAACTAAGAAATAGTTAGATGTTGACATCCTTTGGTACAAATGTTGTCAGGATTTTGTGATGGTATCGCATGAGCTCCGAATCGGAGGATCTTCAATGATATTTGATACTTTTCTTAGTGTTTTTATCTCCCGACTGGAAGAAATTTCCCTCCAAAAAACAGGGGCTGCATATTTGTATTACCTTGGTTCCAAAATCAAGGCATTGGTGATATGTGACGCCAGAGGAGGGCGCTTGATCTCAAAATTACACTTACAATGTTCCACACACAAAAATATCCTGGCTTGTACTCTTACCATCGGAAGGTAAAGTTGTGTATAAAGAGTCTATGGACAATACGTATACGGAACTGTACATTTTCGCAAAAGCTGAACACATTTCAAATCCGGTCAAAACCATTCATCACTTTTCCTAGACTTTTCACACTCAAACTGCGTGTTCCGCAGAATCCGCGCGTCCATGTCTAAAAAAAATCGTTTCCTTCCGAATGTTCAAAAGAACAGCCAAAACCCGAGACAGCGGCACGACCCAACCTCACAAGAGTCGTCACAATGCAGTATAACATGATAGCCTTGGCTTTAAGCATAGATAATTGTATGTGGCGTGAATCAATATTGAACAAAGCAGGGAAGGGGTATCGTATATCGCTGGTTCGTAATCGTAGCACACTATAGTATTGCCCAATGGTTGCCGAAGCATAGGGGTAGCTGCCCAAGATTGAGTGGTGAATGAACTTGATTTGCGTTTACCACTCAAAAAGAAACTCGCGCATTAAGCAGGAAACTTCGAGCAAATATTGCAGTTGCGTTTATAGTTATTTAGTTATTTTGAATGTGAAAACCACAAAAAACAAACAACTTCAATGGACAAGGTGCATTGTTTAAATTGTTAGACACCATTCCAGTGTGTTTATGTATGTAAGAGGGTCATCTCTGCCGCCTTATCTTTGAAAAGTTCACCATGGTGGTTGTGTTTCCAATCTAGATGTAATTTTGTGACG